GTGCTCCGCTACTGCTGATTTTTCCGTTTGTCCCAATCTGCAACTTCGTTTGTGCTCCGTGATCCTAGTGTTTATGCTTTGTTTTGTGGTGCCGATGTATGCTCTTCCACAGCTGCACGGAACTCTGTAGACTCCTGGTGCTGATAAAGGATCTCGTTTGTCCTTGGCCGATTTCAAAGTCTGTTGGATGGTTCGAGTTGGTTTGAAAATGGTTTTTACTTGGTGTTTCTCCAATATCTTGCCGATCCTGTCCGTGACTCCATGTATGTACGGGAGGCAAGCCCAACTCTTATGCTCGCCATGCGTCTCTGTTGTCTCCGAGCGATCTTCACAGTTTTTTGGTAGAATTGCTCTATTGAAATCTTTCTTACTGTATCCATTCCAACCAAAAGCCCTTTCCAGGTGTTTTAATTCTCTCTCTAACTCGTCTGGTTCGCAGATTCTTCTGGCTCTTTCGGTGAGAGTTTTTATGACTCCTCTCTTTTGACTGGGGTGATGGTTTGAGTGTTGATATCACCGATCTTTGTTGTTTTGGTCTTTTAAAAATAAAAAATTTAAATTAATCCATAAAATTGTAGGCAGAACTTTGCGCCTTATTAACAACTCCTCTGTACTAATATTTTAACTTATTTTGCTGTGCCTATTATAAGGATTAGTTTGATCTAACTCGCTATTATTCTAAATTGGTTGTAAATCAAAAGCAAAGTGTTAATTAAGTATGTGTGCGTTTCGACTGAATAAATTTGTATACAGTTCTTTTGTTTATCTCAAAGATAAATAGAAATATTTTTAATGTATATTGCCATTTTTTTCAGAGTCGTACTCTACGAGTCTAGTGGACGAAAAATCCTATGAAGATCGCCAACAAGAGTCTTTCGTCAGAGAAGCACTTAAATTTGAAGAAACATTGAACTCTGATATGTTTTTCAATTTTCACTTGAACGAAAAGGACATTCACAGTGATTTAGTGTCAGTTAAAACTGTGATTGAAGACGAGACATTCGCTGGTTATAAAGACTTACTGGGGGGCGATAAAGCATCTACTATTCGGAGTGCAAAAGGAACTGTGCGTGGTGTTAGAAATCGAGTTCGAGCTGGAATTGCAACGTTTTTGCAAATAAACTCTACAGAAAAGGTAGGTTTTGTCGATTAGTTAATTAATTTGTTAGAAATTAAGTACAATATACGCGCATTTCAGAGTTTGATATTTATTATTTGCATTTTAAATTAAATGCATTAACTTAATAAAGCAATCCGTTTTGAACACTTTTAAATTGCAATACGCGAGAAGTGTAGTGCAACACATTCTAATGTAAAGCATGGATTAATACTAGAAAAATGTATGGACTCTAGATGCAATACTCTAATAATGTGTCTAATATAATATCTGACATTCATAATTTGCTTTCAAGAAAATTGTAAGTTTTAAAAGTCAAATACTTTCTCTGATCCAAATCTGGTTAATTTGCTTTGATATGGAAATTGATGGTGATTGATTAAAACGTGATCAGAATTTTGACTAAAATTTATTTAGATTTTAATGTTGAGTAGAATTTTAATTACCTTTCTTGTCTTGTGCTGTTGGGAATGGAAATTTTGTTCACTTTCGATTTCGCCTTTGATCGCCTTACTTTCTGATGTTATAAATGCCAAAATAATTGTTAATAATTTAATTCTGTTAGTACTAGCATCAAATAAATAATAGGTAACGATAATAATCAAATAAATAATAATAAAAATAGAAAAAATGGATTTAATATAATAACGAAAACGATAACAAGCTATTCCGCTGCAAACAAATATCATTAAAAAAGCACTAAAGTGAAGGTTGTTTTTGAACCTTTTACTTTTACTTCTTCAATGTGGGTTAATATACCAGTCGCCATAATTAATTTCAGTGATTATTTGTAATCCCTTTGGACATAACTGCTTCAAATTTGTCTAGTGTGATTAAGGTATTTCACTACTAAACCAATTTACTTTCGTTATAGTTCATGCACAATGCGTATAAACGGTTAGGCACTGTTCACTTTCTACTAAAGCACATACAAATTCTAGACACATTTATCTTGTTATAATCAGAAGTACATTCTTTTGCTATAAAACCAACTTTTTGTTAAAGTTTTCATATCCAAAGCCAATGTGCAAGTACAGACATTTTTAGTATAAAATTGATCATTTAGGCATGGTAATTATTGCGGCCTTGACTTAGAATGTAGCATATTTTTGATTCTAATCTTCTTACTGGCACAGTGAAGTAACACACAATGTAAAGTCACATATCTTAATGAGCACACATTCATTTTATGCATTCTAGCATGATACAGATTTAAAACTGTTTACCTCGTCCTATTTAGCTCCCGCAAAAAAACTAAGGAGAACCGTTAACTCATTAGGATATTTAACTGGCGTACGATTTTTACTCGTTAGTTAGAAAACTTTGGAAATATGACCTAATTATGTAACAAATACAAATAATCACAAATTCAATTTAGTAACACGTCGAATGTTAATTATAATAAATATATTGAGTGAATTCATGCAACGCTAAGGCTCACCGAATTAATATTCAGCTATTTGTCGAATTTCTATGTTACTTGGTGTATGAAGTTTTAATTGTTAGGAAGTATTTGTTGCTGTTCCATTAGCTTATACAATTCGAAAACCATCCGTCCATCCAGCCAACCATCTCATTGCTTGCATAAAATCAAAACTCCTGATCAGATAGATAGTTGCCTATTTATCAAACAATAATATATATTTATGTATATGTTTTCCACTAACGCATAATTTTATAATTATATTCATCTTTCCAATATGGATACATATTAGTAGACTATTGCCTGTTCATTGCCAACACGTTCTCCCCGAAGGATGAGGTCCAGCATTCTGTCCAGTGCTTTGGTGGTCTTCCCTGTAGTCTCCTTCCTACTGGATTGTTAATTTTTGAGTTTCGTGTTCCTCCATTATTTCTACATGTTTGCTCCAGAGTCTTCTTCTATGTCTCACCCATCTTCATGTGTCCTGTATTCCAAATAGTATTCTTATGTCCTCACTTCGTCTTCTATCGTATAGAGTTTTGCCTTGTATGCTCCTGAAGGTCTTCATTTCAACTGTTCTCATCATGTTCTATGTTGTAGAGTTCTGCTTGTATCTGGTCTTGTTTCTGCTGCGTATGTTATTATAGGTCTTATTGCCGTTTTTTATATGTCTTGACTTTGCTTTCCGTATTTAAGGATTTGTTTTCCAAACAATTTATCTCAAACATCCCGAAATTCGAGCCGTTTTTCATTGTTAACTCTCTTACTTCGAGACGTAGATTTCCATGACTCGTCATCTCCGCTCGCAAACATTTGAAATTGTTTACTTGTTTGACGATCTTGAAGTCGGTTTCCAGCTTGTAGCTTATCGGTTTCTTAGATATTATCAAACATTTAGTCTTCTCGGTGTTCAACATATTTAGTAGTTATTTTTCTTTGGTGTTAAAATAATAGAGTAGTCTTTGGAGGTTCTCTTCGGAATCTGTAATAAAAGCCGCGTCCTCAGCGTAGCATACGACATGGAAGATAGTACTTCGCAATTTGTATCCAGTTGTTCTGGGAATATTTGCTTTTATTTCATCCATTATCACATTAAACATGAAGGTCCTGAGTGAGTCTCCCTATGATCCTGTGTTTACGTGTATATATTTCGTTGCAATGTGTCCTACTCGACCTGCATTGGGTGGTTATGTCGTGTATTACATTAAACAGTCTGTGTTTTAACCCTTTTATTCTCATTATTTCCAGGGCATCTTTTAAGCGCACTTTATCAAAAGCTTTAGTCATCGATGAAACACGTTTGTGGGTTTATTGAATTCTAGGGATTTCTCAGATATTGCATTATCTAAGCCATCTTTTGCGAATCTGTTTTTTCTGAATCCTTGTTGTTCTTCTCTTATTCTTATGGGTTGGTGATTTCCCCCACCAGAATAGTATTTGTCAATGTTTTAAGAGCGCTATCAAGTAGGATTATTCCACATAGCTTTCTCGGAGTGTCTATCCCTTTTTTAAAAGGGGTATAAACAGTATAACAAACTATACTTCCATTCGTTTGGTAATTTATGTTCTTCTATCATATTTTTAAAGAAGGTCAGTATTTCATTTTGTACTTTTTTCATTCCGTATGTAAGCATCTCGTTAGTGATCTCGTCTGGTCGGAGGCTGTTTCTATTTTTAAGAGATTTTAAGGTGTTTTCAATCGTGTAATTTGTTAATTCCATGTAGTTGTTTTCTTCATTATCGATTATTATCTGTTCCTTATTCTCCTCTTGGATTAATACCATTCTTGCGAAAACCTTATAAGCAATTGAGTTTAAGTAACATTTTCACGCTCTCATTGAATCAATTTTCGATATTGTGGAGAACATTTACACGATACTGTATATCGTCTAAATGTGAAAAGTTTTTCAAATTTTTATCAGAACTTAAAATATTGCGCAACTGGTTGCGAGTTTCAGAGAGAATAAGCGAAACATAGCACTGTTTGTGCAGTTTTTGTTCATTTGCAGTTTTTGAGCAAAAATTATATTAATTATAAAAATACCATTTTGCTTTACTACTTTCTACGTGGTATGTTTTCACACTGTTTTTCCAAAGGAAATACATTTTAAGCAAGCAGCCAGACAGAAAGGAATTAGCCACCCTGTATATCTCGTTCAACGTTACTGTTAAAAAAAACATATCGTTGGAAACATGCATTAACTCGTTACCATAAGATAAATTGATGAAATTAATTTATTACGTTTTAAGTCATTTATTATTACTGAATGAGTTTCTAGATTAGCTTTGGAATTCGAATTCCGCTTTCATTGTGGCAAATAGATTTTATTATCTCATTTACTAATTTTAAGAATTATAAATGATTAATTAATTCGTAGTCCAAGAAATAAAACTTTCATAGTTTATAAGATGTTAATTTACAAATAGCTGTATATGAAGAGAAGATTTTTAGTCAATTTGCATATTAAAATTGCGAGTTATTTAATTTACCTGTAAATATTTGCTAAATTTGCTAGTTGTATTGCATGTTTCTGATATTTATGAAAATTAATATTTTATAATTCTGTGGCAAAGTTGTCATCTTATGTAGGTACCTTAATATTTCATTACATGATTTTTATTTATAATTTATTAAAAATTTATACTTAATTTTCTCGAAGTTATCTTGAAATAGTTACATTTCAATTTTAGCAATGATTCGAGTTTTGTCTTTATACTTGTGATGCATTACTGAGCTATTTTGATAAGATCATACACTAATACATCTTTGGTCTTAAGCGTAATATTAAAAATAAATTATAGCGATTTAAGAAAGACATTATACCGGGTGTCCCACCGGGAACCGCCGCGATCGATATCTGGCAAACTTTAATTAGGAGAAAATTGGACAGTGTGCCGAAGTTATTGGGGACAAGCGATCTAAAATATTTTCGAGATGGCCTTACTTAGTAGGTAACAACTTGCTTATTTTAAATGTAATAAAACACTCCATATTTTATTACATTTTTTAATTCTATTTCAAATTCTAAATATATTTCAAGTATAATATCCTATACCTGGTTGGATGGTTCTCTACTAATTTGAATAAAAAACTTACGTGGGTTACGTACTGTTGGTAACTTTCACATGAATAAAATTATACTGTGGATTGAAATGTGATAAAATTGTATTAATTGCCCTGATCACGTAGACGAAATCAAGTGTACCATCAACCACAGAATTTGCAAAATTTTTACTATTTCGTTAATGGGACACCCGATATTTTTTCTTAACATTTCAATATACAACATAATTCTACATAGAAAACATAATTTTGCTTATTATGTAAAATACGAAAATGAGCAAATGTGACGAAGAAACTGAAATTAAATAAAATTGATCGAGTAGCCAATCAAACATCATCATTGCCTGTCCGTCGTCGTACGAATTGACAGATCTCCAACCAATAGAAACACTTTCGTACAAATTTATTTAACAAAAAATTTAAATGTCCGGTGGATTCTGATGAAAGTATTTTTATAGGTTTAGCATTATGTCGAAAAAAACTGAGCAGTAGAAATTTTGCAAATCAGAGCAAAACGTTGAAAGTTATCGTAATATACGGAAGATCCCATTGGATAATGTGTGCACTAAATTGAATCATTTTTACAAAGAGAATAGTTGACCAAGTTACGGCTTTTTTTGTACTTCTTTTATAATTCGAGTGCGACGCAGTGAGGCGCGATGAGTTATAACTCACGAACTCACGGAGCGGCATCAACTCAAGAGCGCACCTCAACACAGTGTTACCCAGGCCTACTACTTATATACTACCGAAAAATAGAAAGCCTACTATACATGCGTGACCATTTCAAAGCATGTACACAGATGTGCTGGTGTATAAAAGTACCTTTTAAAGTCCTGCCTTAATTCATATTGCCTATATTAAAACATTCTTTTTGGTTTCAGAGCTACAAAGAAAAAGATGCAAATAAAGTGGTGGTCTACACAACAACGATGGGGATTATCAGAGATACATACCAAGCCTGTATGAAAGTTAAACAAATTCTTAGAACGCTGCTAATTAAATTTGAAGAACGGGATGTTTTTATGAGTACAGAATATCAAAATGAAATTAGAGAACGAATGAAGTGTGATCACATCCTAATTCCTCAAGTGTTTGTTGATGGGCAGCATTGTGGGGTAAGGATATCTACAGCATAAATAATAATTGTTCTAATATTTGGTGTGGAATAACATTTAATGTTTACTTTTGTTTTTAGGATGCCGACACTATAGAAAGACTAAACGAATCAGGAGAATTAAGAAAAATATTAAAATTGTACAAGGTACATAATTTGCTTATTATTTTGATAATCAACTGTTTTCACAAATAAAAGTTTACAATAAATGTTGTTTGCAGAATGCGGACGTATGCAATACTTGTCAAATGTGCGGAGGCTATCGCTTGCTGCCTTGTGGAACTTGTAATGGAAGTAAAAAATCTGTACATAGGAATCATTTTACTACGGAATTTGTAGCTTTAAAATGTATGAATTGTGATGAAAATGGGCTAGTTCGCTGTAGTGGTTGCTAATAAATAATATCTATACTCGTGCAAAATTCAATCATCGAAGCATAGTTCTATATTTTTTAGAATGTTTTCCATACATAGGTATTTTATTATAAATGTAAGAAAATCTAGCGGTAATACGAGTACATGATACACTTAAGAGTGTAAAGAATCGCGCGGACCCTGACAGAGTAGTACCAAGAACATAATTATGTCGTTGATTTTCCACTCAATGGGAAATAATTAAAAATTACTTATCTAAAGGTAATCAATGTACACATTTGAAAAAAATGCTATAACTTTATAAAAATGGAGTAGCTAAAATATAGTTCCGAATCTGTATTCTAAAATTTAAGTGTTTGAGTTAAGTCTGCTGTATTTTGATAATCGGTTTGTATAAATTTGTGATATAAGCCTTAAGAACATGGTAGAAGAATTACTACAAATAGCTCAATTGTTTTGACAATTTATATATTAAATCACAGCAGAAAATTAATTTGAGACTTTTTTATTTCCTATAGATGTTATTGAATATTTGATTTAATGAGACATTGTTGTAATAATACTTCAACTTCTAAATTTAACTATCAATTCTTTTGAAATATCTTAGCTTCATCCGGAACACACGTTACATTTAAAACATAAAAATAATCAGCAGCAATATATTATTTGATAATGTGGGTGAATTGCCGACCAGAATATTTAATCTGCTTATCTAGAAGGAAAGGGCTTATCATAAGTATAAGACATTCTTGAATTGCATTCACTTTTTGGTCCTACGCTCAACATATTTTGCTTTAGCCGCAATTTTTTCTATTGTTAATAATAATTCTAAATATTTTGACTAAATGAGTGCCATTAAAGAGAAATCTTTCAGTTTTCTTTGTCGTATGTGAATACGAGTTTATAGTAGATGAAATTATTTATAATTTTATTTCAATAAAGAGCATTTGCACGTTGGTTATCTTGCAATTAAAATTTTGAAAAATTTCCGTATTTTGCGTTCCTATATTTGTAGGTAAAGCGCCAATATTGCGTATTTTAGTCTAGACCAAAACACAATTAGAAAACAATGTTTTTTATTTATTCTTCAGTAACAGATTATTCTAGCTACTAATACTGTGCAATATGTATATGAAATATGTAATTATAAAGTGTTTTCGAGGAACCGCTGTTAATAATGTAGAATTATTTAAACAAAAATCAATAATTCCTTTTCATTGAACAAGTTTTTAAATATATGCATACATATAAATTACATATCCTGAAGTAGCACTAATGTATACAGACCTATTAGGTAAAAACCTATTAAAGTTATATTTGGTTCACTTTCAGAGTATCCCAGATTGAAAGTTTGCGTCCTAAATATGCATGAAAAATCTCTATTAGGTACTAGTTACATATGCATTAGAAATACAGATAGAAATGTAGGATTTTTCTGAGATGTATCTTGTTTTATTTAAATAAATGAACATAATACCAAAATCTTGCAGTACCACTTTGATCAATTTTGAAATTTAGGAGTTTGCGTAACATAAATACAGTACTATGAAGGCTTTTACGGCCGGTCAAATCACATTTAGAAATGTTTTCCGGGCTTTGAAGCCGTGGTCCATGGGAATTTCTTCCTGACGTTTCGTCCACAACTGCGGTGGACATTATCAAAGGCGATGAGGCAGTGGGCGAAGTGATCTTTCGTGCTGTCGTAATTATGCGGTCCGGCCGTGTGAGCTGATGCGTGGAGCGTGGGCGGGACTTTAAATGTTTTGGCGCACACGCTGTTTGCCGCAAAACGCATTTGCAATGTAGATTAAGGGCCGTTATCTCTTCTTTCCTATTAAAATTGTTGTCATGTTTAAAGATCTCAATGGCCTCTCTGGTTAGTGTCGGGTAATACCGTTGAGATTGGTGCAAAATGTCCACTTCATCGAAACGTATTTGGTGGCCGTCTAGCAGTGCGTGCTCCGCTACTGCTGATTTTTCTCTTTTTGTCCTAATCTGCAACTTCTTTTATGCTCAGTGATCCTAGTGTTTACACGTCGTTTTGTACCATCGTATAAACGGATGCATGGAACACGGGCTTTACGCTTCAGAACACAATTTTCTCTGTTATATTGTGATAACTCTGAAGTTTATTTGAGTTTTACAATAATGGAATATAAGATAGCCAGATACCAGCAGCCCCCAGTGCGTTCGTAATTGTGAAAATCAACATGGTCGACAATATTGATTTGCTAAGAATCAGGCAGAGACTTTAAAGCTTCACTCGAAATCGTTAGACCCCAAATTATGAAACATTGCCTGTACATGAAGCATACAACAATAGAACCCCATTGGCCACTTGAAATATAACACAAAGTGCTTATTATAGCATATTTGTTAAAGCTTATTTATTATTTAATGTGAATTAATGTTATTTCAAATGTATATCTACATTTTTCCTCGTTTTTGAAACACTTTAAGATCTAACTCATTTTTTATCGTTTTAGGTACTAAAAAAGTTCTGTAATAAATACGTAGCTAAGAAATACGTCTTCTTAATTTTTCCAATTAATCTTCGTTTTTACACGAACAAAACTTTAGCAGGCGGGTTGAATTCAGTTTATGATCTCTACTCAATAAAATATCAAGCATCTGATAATTCCCTTTAATTGTGATTTTAATTGAAGCACTAATATAACACCACAATTAAAGGGCATTATCAAATGCTTGAAATATTGTTATTTTTAATTTATATATTATTGCAGTGATTATTAACTTAATTCAAATCTCCCGCTAAATTTTGATGTGTATGCAATCGGTAAAGAAGTTTTCTTCTGAAAGCAGTGGATTCCAGTCTAGTTTGGAAAGCAGTCACTGCGAGTAAGCGACAAACAGCATTCTACAGCCTTATCTGGCAGTTTCCATCTATAACCTCTATGATCTGTGAGCTACTTCGAGATAATATCAGCCCTGTGCTGTATCATAAATGCTATTTTTAACGGCCACACGTTATGGCAACTTAACAGTTCAGGATAACATTTTCGATAACGCAGCAACAC